TAGACATCGCGATTTCCCAAAACTGAATAAATACCACACATAGCAACACAAAACTGCTTTGCTAGCTCAATCATAGATATCCGCTGGAAAAAAAAAAAATTTCACGGACCGTTTAATGAGTTATTACCTATTACAGACACCGGCTAAGAAATAGTAATGTTTGTTCAATCATTGTGTTTATAGACTTTACAAACATCGGATTAGTCTAAACGGTGATACAGTGATGTGAAAAATATGATATATATATACATAGCTAAAAGCTCTGCTGGTTTTCTACCCGGACGTATTTGTAAACAACAAGGCGATTCCCTCTAACGTTATAGTCCGGACGGACGGATGAGTCATGGCCTTGTAAAAGATTATTATTTGTTTCTTTCAGTTGGTGAGAATGTGTCGCCACAAACGCGACAAACATCCACTAACTTTGACGGCGTTTTCTGCGAGCGCGGCTGAGCCATTTTGTACCGCTACACGTGTTTCTAGTGGGACTATGTTTACAATCACAAGAGTTCAGCGAGCCACCGAAGGACCGCCCTGCAGATTTACTATTGGTTCTGCAACTTAGGGAGTTTTTTTAATCTCTGAAATTGTATCCGCCCATCTAAACACAAAATCAGGGAGAAAGACATCAGTCTTTAGTTAAGCAAAGCGTCTAAAGACTGACTTGTGAGTCTAGTGGACACACAGTGATTCAAGGCTCTAGCTAACGTTAGCCACATAAACATGAAGCTGCAGCTTAGCAGAGGGCTAAATATAACTATAAGCAAAATAGGCTTTACCAATATTGACACTAGTTGAATTTTGTTCAGTCTCAGACTCCCTTTTTGAGAAGTCCGTCTTCCTTTTTTTGGGTTGCTCTGCAGTGTAGGCAGTTGTTGCCATTGCTGGAATAGCAACTTTCTCTGCAGAATTCTCCGCCATTGAATCAGGCTTTCACCATCTGAAAGGACGTGCACGCACATCTGTACTTGTAGAACAGCCAATAGAAATACTCTCTCTCTGAAATGACCTGTGATTGGCCAGCCTCCCGTCAAAGCCGAGATTTTCTAAAGCCTGAAAACAGAGCCAACGGGAGGTGCAGGAGTCCAGTTTTCTCTCAGTCCACTTAAATTACAATATGCTCAAAGATTATCATCAGATTTTTGCCCCTGCTTTAAACATTCAACAGTTTAAACGAGGTCACCTTCAGATTCTGGATCAGTTTGGGATGAAATTCAGTGACTATAGCAACATGTTTTGCTCCCAACTGCAGCAACAGTGTTCTGACTTTGCTACCACCCTGACCCATCCCCATGACTGTGTTCCTCTCCATAGCAACAGCAGCTGAGGCTCATGGGTATTGCAGTTTTTGGCACCCTATCCACCCATCACACTGACAGAGAAAACACGATCTCTCAGAAGTAACGCTGAAATAAATCAAACTGTTAAACGTCACATGGTTAATTTATTTTCAGACTTCTGTGTCTCTGTGATGACTCTCCACAAAACAGTAATTTTACTGAATTAATTTCCTGTCCCAGCTACTGTTATCTTGACAAATATTGTCAGTATGACACATGTGGTGTGTGCTGCAGCTGTCAGTCACATATTGTGTGTACAAGCTGCTTTTCCTGCAGAATATGAGCCTGCATTTTTCTTCCAGGAATTGAAACTTAAGCAGGGCACTACAGTCCAAAGGTGAATGCGGCCCAGGTATGCAGCCTGCTGCACAGCCCACTGCACATGGCAACAACATGCAAATCAAGGTCCACTGTTTAAACCTCCTCGTTTGCTGCAGTAGAAGTGAAACAAACACAACGTCTACTTTTATAAAACACACCTGAGAGCTGTCGACTTCTCGTGGTTCCCCATCAGATTCTAGCTGCAAGCCGATCAGATCAAAACACGCCGCTGCTCTCTGCTCGCCTGGAGGAGAAATTCTCACGCCTTCCCTCTTCACCACACCTTCCCATAATGCCATGTGTGCCTCTACACCTGTCCTGCAGTGAGTGTGTGAGTGTGTGTGTGTGTGTGTGTTTGTGTCTGAAGTCTAAAGTCCTGTATTGTGTCATGCCTCTCACGCGTCTTCCAGTAAATAAAAGCTGCAGTAGCAACAGCAGCATTGCAAGCAGTCACACCCCAAACCCAAATACCTGGCTTTGTACTGGGCAAGGCAGCGAGCTGAATGCTACAACAGATGCTTTGTAACTGACTAACTGTGTTCCTCTCCACAATGCTGAACAGACCTGATTAATATCTTTCCATCACTGTCCTGAAACTCGTTATTTCAACACTGATTTGACTGATTTAATAATGTGGTGTCTACTTGTTAGCCCTTATATTATACAGCTTGACACCTGATTAAAATGCTATCTAAACTAGCTAAGAAAGCTAACATTAGCATCTGTCTAACAAAGCTAACCTCAGGTCAAACTGTTAATTCAGCGGTTTGTCTCCCTTGGGCAACACGCAACTGACGTCACTGGTTGGTGTCAGCCATAAATATAAACCAACATGTTAAAAAATGCCGGCTTGCGCAAGGAACAAGCTAACTAGCTAGCGGTTAGCTGAGTTTAAGCAAGCTCACGGGGCATGTGGCTCAGTGTTTTGGAGCAGGAACAAGAACAAGTCTAAAGCTGTCTCACAGTTTGGAAATAAATCTACCTCATCAAACATAATTTTAATTAAAAAAACACAACTGAATCGACCAAAAGATAAACAACATGCTGCTCTCTGTTTACAGCCTCACTGGTACGAAGAAAGAAGGAGGTGAATTTCAGGACGTATGAGTTCACTATTACTCTCTAATTAACCCTATAATGTGTAATAATCAGTAATGGCAGCACTAGTGATGAATGATGAGTGATAACAAGTGATAAAGAGTGTTATCCTGCCTTTGTGTGTGTGTGTGTGTGTGTGTGTGTGTGTGTGTGTGTGTTAATTCCAGACAACCAGCTCTGATTTGGACTATGAACCAGGATGTGGAGCAGAATCCTGACCAGTTACAGATTACATTGGTAACCAGGAAGGTGGGGGAGGTAGGAGGGAACTCCTGCAGGTGTCAATCATGTCAGTGATTCATATGTGCTGTTTGTACGAAGATGAATACCATTTGAAAACCATTCAAAAGTGTCATGTGTGAACGTATGAGTCATTAGTCATTAGCATTTGTTTAATGAAATCCAAAAATCTGAAAAATGCTTCAACAGGTGTTTTTCCTTGTTGCTAAATTTCCTGCTTGTCATTCATTACCCATCAGCCACAAGGGCTCTGTGAACCTCTCTGTGTCTCTCTTTCACACACTTCAACCCGACTGGGTTCAGGCCATTAGCAGAAATATTCAAGGTCAGTTGTCTTTGGATTTCAGGTTTGATTTGTGTCTCAAATCTGACAGCACCAGTCAGATCAACTTGAGTCGTATCTAGCATTAGGGGAGACTGGGGTTGGTTGGTCAGCTATTTCCTGGTCCTTTGAAGGTCACAGAAACAAAAATGTAACACCCAAATGTTTGTTTTCTTGACCTGCACTCATCTATTATGCTAAAACACTCGAATGTCACTTAATTTTGGTGAGTTTTATAGCATTTAAAACTATAAAACATATTATAAAACTGTGTTATGCTTGTGGCTACGCTGCCTGTGTAAAGCGGGGTTTATACTTTTATGTATCGAATCGATGCCGTACCTACAGCGTTGACGTAGAGCCTTGGTCACTAACAGGCAGACTGTGGTCCAAGTCTTGACCCAGACGCTGTCCTGTACCAGACCTATGACCAGTAAATTATTAAGCGATTTTAAATTTTCACGGGGTGCTCCTATTTTAACCGGTGCAACTTTTCTAGTCATTACAGCACCGGTTTAGCTGCTCAGGAAACACACAGACCAATTGCATGCGAGTTAAGCCATCCCACGTGACGCCACCCAGTCAATCAAATCTCTGCATTCCAGGCGATTAACATGGCAACTCTGTGTATACGGCCAGACAGGAGAGGTGAGAAGCGAGTGATAAACGAAAATATGATAGAAAAATAGAAAGACAGAAATATAGAAAAGAAAGAAAGTGATACAGGGAATGAAGACAGAGAAGCAAGTGAACGAGGGACGGAGAGAAACACAGAGGAAGAGAGGAGTGGTTGATCTCCAAGCAGATTTAGCCCTGAAAGAGCAGTTTGAAAGAACTGACTCTGCCACTTTCTGGCTCCAAATGGTCTCCACAATATGGTTCCGGGCTCACCGATGAGCACCTGCACATGTGTATGAGAGTGGCCCTGACACCATTCCAGTCCAGATTTAAAATCCTGGCAGGACAAACTCTAGCCCATGTCTCTCACTGAACAACAAAAAGTGGGGGAGTGGGAAAAGAGGTAAAGAAAGAGAACTGTTCAATTGTTATTTATTTATTGTGAAAGTTGTGAAACAGTTAACAAAGAAAAAGGAAAATTTATTTTATTTTTTCTAAAATTAAACACTGTATTTTAAGATGCACAATTTTTCAAAAACGATTTTATTTTTAAATGCATATCTGTATAGTTCAGTGTTAAGTGACAATTAATATTGTCGAAATGCTTTTGAATGGTACTTTCTTTACTTGATTTGATAGATGTTGGTTACTTGCAGATGTTGATACAGCTACTAGGCTACTTCAGTATATATCACACTAAATCATATCGCAAGTTCGACATTATGATGTTTCGGACCTTTGCGTAAGGAAACTTTCTCTAACTGGACCTTCTTGAATTTTAGTTGAATACCCCTGATGTAGAGGGTCAAACCAGGAACCCTCTTGCTGTTAGGCGACAATGCTAACCTCTGCTCACCGTGCCGCACTAATGCACAGCAATCACAAATCATCTCATTTTAGAAAAATGAGTGTTCATTAAAACGTCTCTATTTATAGCTGAGACTTTATCCTTTCATTTTCTGCTGGTTAGAATAACTAACATAAATCATGCCACAGAAATATGGCAGAGTGAGACGAGTACAACAAACCCAGTCTTCCTAAAATGAAGTCACAGTCTGTACCTGCGGACGGTGAGCTGCAGCGTCTTGTACGATCCTTTGACCAGAGCGATGGCCTCCTGTCTGTATCCAGTCAGCTCCACCTCGTTGATGACGATGATCTCATCCCCGACCAGCAGAGGCTGCTCCAAGCTGTCCGCCTTGCCGCCCTCCTCCACCTGCACAGACACAAATACAAACACCTCAGGACAGGCTTACTGAGACAGCCGAAATGTGTATTTAGCCAATGATTTACTAAAGCACTAGCTCATTAGGCAGTCAGGTCCTGACCTCGAATGAAGGAGAGCTCAGTAGGTGAACACCGCCAAGCTCCTAAAAGAAATAACGGAGTGACCTCAGAGGTCTTCTGGGTTCATACTGCCGTCCTGCCTTCCCTCTAGTCTTTGTGCTAAACCAGGCCAAACATGTCCTACAGTATCTCTGTACTGGGCACACAGTGATGAAACTTGTTGAGTCACACTTATTGTGGCAGCTGTTATCAGGGTTTCTATTGTTCTGGTAGGTAGGAAACACTTGATGTGCGTGATATGTAGAGGGTCACTGTCGGCTGTTTGCCCGGTGGCTTTGTCTTTCTCACATCCTGTCTGTCGCTCTTTCTTTATGGGGTTCTATTTTAAGAAAAAGTACAAAATTCGGATGGTGTTTCACCTGGTCCCACCCTCATATGTTAAGACTCGCTAGTGCTCATCACGCCAACATGTCAAGGTCGGACACAGTTAGAGCCAAAGAGGTCATGATTTGGGTTAGACAGACAATCACAGCATAGTGGGGCAGGACATGTGGAACACTCTTGGGAAAGACAAAGCCATTTCTAATGAAGCGGTGCAGGAATGAGTCCTATGAGTGAGCATGTTTGCACTTCCGGTTCCATTGTCTCAAAATCAATGAAGTTTTTTTGAATGGGTTTTTGGTGAGATGCCTGGAATAAGGTCTGTGGTTAACACAAGTTTAAGAGACTTCTACGTTTTGTTCTACACAGTGGTGTAAGGTAAGCCCAGGTCAGACCCAAGACTCAAAAACCATGAAAGGTGGTGTTCATTTGTCAAGATTATCTTGCTGAGTAGAACATGTAAGTTACAAGAACTTTTACTCCGATCCAAAATCGGGTGGATAAATTCCGATTGGCTTTTTGTCGAGGGAACCAGGATGACGCAAGCTTCCGGGATCGCCCACAAAAACGTCATCCCTGCAATAGTGTATTAAATTGACTGTTTACTAAACCCCTCCCCAGCTGTGATTGGCTAATCATCTTAGCAATCATAACCAAACATACAGGATGTGTAAGAATTGTATTAAACTTTGTCTTAGCTTTAGCATAATGTTAGCCTGTCCGGCTAACGTGTTTTTTTACCTAAAGTAGTGACCAAGGGTTAAAAAAACAGATAACTGGTTGCTCTGTGTTGTAGAGTGTAGATCCAAAAATGTATCGGGTGCTCTTGGAAAAAAGGAGGGAACTCCAAAATACTGCAAACAGGAAAAGAATCCAGGCACTCCAAACAAAAATGAGAACGAGGAAGGAAAGATTAGATTAAAAAGCCTTTAATATAATGGCCAACTCAATGACCACTGTTGGTCTTCATCAGGGCTGGAGAAACTCCAGCCCTGATGAAGACCAACAGTGGTCGAAACATGTTGGCTTTTTAATGAGTTGGCCATTATATTAAAGGCTTTTTAATCTAATCTTTCCTTCCTCGTTCTCATTTTTGTTTGGAGTGCCTGGATTCTTTTCCTGTTTGTAGTGACCAAGGGTTACTTCCAATGTCAAGAGTTGCTATACCATTTCAATTAGAGGTTATCTCAGGAAAAAACCCATTCATGACTGGAACATCAACTTCGTGGGAGCCAAGATGCTACGATAACAGAATTTAGGCTAACGTTAGCAACTTAACTGGGTTGCCACAAAGTTATGACAGCTAAACATTTCCAGTATTTAGAATTGAAGCAACTTGCTAAAGGTAAATTTGCATTCTGCACTTGCACTTATGTTTCCAAAACCTTTTAGCCTGATAGCTAGGCTGACCAAACGTCCTCTTTTGCCCGGACATGTCCACTTTTCACGTCCCGTCCGGGGCATCCGGGGGGGGTTTTATAAACTGATGATAATGTCCGGTTTTCCGTGTGTTTGTGTGTGTGTGTTAGAGTGCTGCACGGGCAGCATATTTCTGTCCGAACCCGAACCGAGCCCGACATTATTTAATGACCAAAGCACTGAGTTTGTGTCACACAGTGGTTACAGGCTATTTAACAGGCCGGGCGTGTTCTGTGGGTGCTCAGCTGCGGAGAGGGAGACCTCCATGTTTGGAGCGGGAGGCGGGAGGTCTGAGGCTTCTAGCAAGAGGAGAGAGAGAAATAAAACAAAATAAGATAAAATAGGAAAAACCTGTCTCCCTCTTTTATTTTATTTTCAGCATTTAATCAAGGCGGAGGCGGGCGGCTGGAGGTCCGAGACTTCCAGCGAGGGGAGAGGTAGAAACAAACAGCCAATGTGTGTCTGTGTGTGTTATGTTCAGGTGTTGTCACGTAAATAACAGTGCCCAAGCAATAAACAGGACAGACAATAGGATTTTATTTATTTTTACACTACATTTTCACTGAAAGCTTACCGATTCTGACCCGAGCCTGAATACAATTTATAGCTACATTTTTGACCAAACCCGGCCGACCCGTCGGGTACCATCGGGCTCGGATCGCCACACTCTAGTGTGTGTATGAGTATCATTTAAGTAGGCTATGTCGTGGCCGGCCGAGTGTCCTCTTTTTTGGAAATCAAAATATGGTCACCCTACTGTTAGCTCCGGCTCGCTAACATAACACGGTGTGAAACTGCAGGAAGTAGCACTGGTAATGCTAACTGAAACTACACACAAACCTAGGTTTACAGCTAGTACGAAACAAGCTGAGTGTCCCCAAACATCAACCAGCAGCACTGTTACCAATATAAACTACACACAAGTTTGAAAAATATTGGGTAGCAACAATAACTAAGATGGTAGAGGTGTAGCTGAGGGTCAGCTGCATGTTTGGTTTTTTTGTGATAGTTGTGCGAAGTATTCAAAATGCTTCACATTGAATTTACAGACACGTTTCCTTTAAGTTTGTCATCAATTGTACATTGTTGTTGTCTAAAGTGATGATGATTCAACTGTAACTCCCAGTCTGACGCACACACACACACACACACACACACACACACACACACACTGTATGAAATCAGTACGAGCCCACTGCATTATCAGTGCTGCCAGTGATGCCTCTCAGCAGCCTGTCAGAGAGTGTGCAGCCGTATCACAACATACGCCTGTGTGTTTATCACTGTGCGTGTGTGTGTGCTCTGTAAGGTCACACTGTCTTGCGGTCTTGTCCTCTGTGAGATAAGCTCAATCAAATCCTGAGTCGGCTGTCAAAATGTCTCTGCACAAACGTCACCAGCTCAGACTGGATTCCTGGACGTTTGCTGTGTTTGGTCTCCCAAACTGCTTCAACTGACATTGGATGTTCATATCTTTTCTCTTCTGTCCTATTTACCATGTGTGTGTTTGTTAGACAACATGATGACTTGCTGCTGTGTACATTATCTATTGATATGAAGAGTTATTTCCTCTCACGCAGGCGCAAAACGTGCACGCTAGTTGGCTGTAGTGTTTGCGGGGTGTTCAAGTGCAACTTTTTGGCCATAACACAGGCGACGTGAGGTGACACAGTGAACAGTCTGGTAGCCTTCATTGCCACTAGTTCTTTGATGTTGGTTTTGTCAACTCATTCTCACTCCGACCTCGTTACATATTGACGTTTGGTCAGGAATTTCCACGTCCACATACGATGTGAAAGGTACCGTGGGTGCGTCGGTTGTTGACGTTCTGGGATGCCGTGTCAACTTCAGCCAGTTACATGCATTGTCTTCTTTCAAGATACACTTCTGCTTTCACAGGAAATCTAACGTTTGCATACAGTCTCTTTCAAAATAAAAGCACTACATCGGTACAACACCGCGAATTGACGTGGTTAGGTTTAGGAAAAAACAAAAGGGTTTGGCTTTAGAATCTTACAAGACGCGAATACCGCTCTCTCGGGTGAAAGTCGGTGTCGGTGTTGTTGGACCCATCCACCACCTCTCCCGCCAGCCCCTGTCAGACTTTTGCCGCCTTAACTTTCGTCCTTGTCCCACCGCCTTTCCCCCTGACCTCACCGGGCACCAATAAACTATGCCGACTTTAAAAGACACCTTTTTTTGTTGGTTTCTGATGCTGCAAGTCACTGCCCAAGCGCCAGATTTTGACGACTTTGGAGTGACACCGGGCTCGTTTGGTGTGTCTGGGCCTTGAGAGCAATATGATGCAGTTCCTGTCACGGCCACTAGATGTTCCTTAAAGAAAACTCTGACTGTATTGAAATGAATGGGAAAACCCACAACTTCTCTCTCCAAATACAAAGACAATACAGTTTGCACTCTGGACGCCGTTTGGTTGTTCTAATTGTCTCTGCCCAAATTAAGATTTTCTGGTCCCAGTACCTGACGACGATGAATCTGACCTTAAAACAACCCCTCGGGAACCTGTAGCTAATTACACAGATTCAGGTTCACGGTCAGGTCAGGTTCACGACGAGGGCTACAAACATAACTAACACCAGAAAGTCGCTTTATTTCATAGTTGTTTTCACACACTGTCCTGCGATTGACAAAGGTATCTAGCTCTGCTCTAAAACAATAAACCCCGCCCAGCTGGGACTCTCTGAATGTTAAAACAACTGCCAAGAATTTCTCACAGGGTGTGTCTGACCCTCTCCTGAATTACAACATGTGTTTCAACAAAAGCATTATGTGTTTTAGCCCACACACTGCAGCTCCGACATCTGAAACACAGTACGCTCATGTACTATATGCGCTGAGTGACTTAAATCACCTATGTACGGTGGCCCTGAGGGGGCAAAACCCAACAACAGAACACAACTACATCTCATAAAACTCATCAGCAGATGGGGGAGTGGTGTGACGCCCAGGCTGCTGACAAACAAAGACAGGTTTCTATAAGTATGTACACTGTTGACATGTGTAAGTGTGAGATGTGTCTAATGAGCTGCGCTGACATAAAGGAAATGAAACATCCTCTCGAGCTGTGAAGGAAAAACAGTGTGTTAAAAATATAAACCATTCCTCAGC